ACTCTACAAATAGATTTCAAATTACTGATTACTTCTTAGCCTTAATCTAAATGCTGCATAAACTGTTAAGTGTTTGAGGAATTATTCTTTAAGAGGTATTTTTAGAAGTATGTTTTAAGGAATTGAAATATATGATTTTAGTGGTTTGCATCAATATCAATAGAAGTGCTTATTATATATGTCACTGAATCATAAGATTACAAAGAGGACGATAGATGAAATTCAATCTCGATTTCTCTAATTTGATTTCAATTATACTTTCAACTATTTTCTTAAATTATAGTTCTTAAATATTTTCATGCAATTAATCAATCAACTTATTTGTATATATATGTATATATATGTGTGTATATATATATATATATATATATATATATATATATATATTTTCAATTAATCTATTCCTTAAGAATTAATACACTTTAGCTTGCTCCCTGTAGATGATATCCTGATTCTTACCGATTTTTGTTAGTTGAATAATACGGTTAATTTACCATATGATAAAATCTCAATGTATACTTAATGTAAGAAAGTTATAATATCAAAAGTTTAAATTAAGAATCAGCCACATGTCCAAATCCATTATGCCATAAGAAATTAGAATCACTATCAGTTCCTATACTACTGCAGCTAGGTTGGATGTCAGATTGATTCCTTTAAAGTTGATTATCTTCAGACTCTACCACAAATAGCTTATTTTTTAATTTAGCGAAATCAATCATTTTCTTGATAGGTTTCTGTTTAATGATGCAATTTGTGTCAATGAAAGTTAGACTATAGGGAATTATTTTTAATAATATTGTGACTGATATAAGGTTAACTTTGAGTTTAGGAACATATAAAATATCATACAATGTCAAGGCAAGAGAAAGAACAATAGTTCTAATAAATGAAGCAAAAACAAAACTTCCATTTGGTAGCAAAATAGATATAGGTTTAATAAGTTGATACTTTTTAAAAAAGGACGATTAAATGTAAGATGGTTAGTGGCTCTAGTGTCAAGAAGCCACTAACAGAAAATGCTACCTGCAAGTATCATATGAGAAATTTGAAGAATAGAATTACTAGTTAAAGATTGAACAATGTTGGATGTATGAACACTTAAATAAGACGGCTTGTTACTCTGTTGGATAAGTGACAACAAGCTTCGATACTTCTTGGAGAGTAAATGATTCATTTGTACTATTGTGACCAAGATCGATAAACACGTCTATACTAAGCTTATGCTATTATGATTGTTCTTTGAGCTTTTGGAACAAGGAGGAAATTCTATTTTAAAATAACACTTTTCAATCATATGATTGTTGAAACCATAATGAGTACAAAATTTTGAGCTTTGTTGACCCCTTCCTCTTCCAAATCTTTTTCAACCTCAGGCAAAGGTTCCTCTTTCATAGTTTTCCTTTTAAGCTTGATTTGCAACCACATTCCATGCCAATTTTGAATCGTGAATGGAATTTACAATGCAATTGCATTCATTTGGCGTTCTTATTGCACAACCATGTTAAAAACCTTTATCAATGGTGGTAGGGGTTTAAGTATCAAAATTGAGATTTCATATATGAGTATTACTCATTAAGTCCTTTTAGAAAATAGATTATGTAGTCTTTATCCCTATATATTTTAATGATATTAACTGCTCCAAAGCTATAAGCAAAGTACATGAGCATCAAGTAAGATGTCTAAAATTTTCAATTTCATCCTAAATAGTCCTAGGTTTGGTTGGTTGTGTGTACCATCAACAAATTTTATTTTGTTCTTTGAAATGAGGGACAATTTCATGCTTCTAACCCATGATAGTAGTTTTTTTTTTCTTGTCTAGAGGAGATGTCAAAGCCAATGGTGGATTTTTATTTAGGTGGAGGTAAAAGAGACTAAAGGAGTCAAGGTTAGAGCTGTAGTTTTGGTTTTCCATTATGAAAGGTTTGTGACCAAAAAGGAAGAAAAATATAAATTAATGGTGGGACAAGTGACTAGAGCTCCTTTGAGAGCTTTGATACTATCTTGATTTCTGCATTATAATATTTTATGACGTTTCATTGAATCAAAATGGAAAAATATAGACAAGATGAGGTAAGTGAAAAAGCACAAAGTACCTTTGTTTGTAGAATGGAATACAAAACAAATGTAATCATAAAATTGACATATATATATATATAAAAAAGGAATAACAACTTGTACGAAAAAGGACAACTAACCTAACAGAGCATATTCTAAAATTAGAAGCAAAAAGGAAAAAAATGTAAATGAAATATATTTAATACATAATCATTGTTCTTACTACATATTAAACCCTACCTATAATAACTTTATCCTTCAAGTCTCAAATACCTATGAAGCATAATTCTTCCGTCAAGTCACGCAAATTCCTAAATGGCATAACGTCATGAATGAAGAGATTAAAGCTTTAGATTCAAGCAATACATGGAATTTAGTCCCCCTACCAAATTGCAAACACTGCAAAGGTTGTAAATAGGTATACAAAGTGAAATGCAATAAGGATGACTCTGTAGATTGTTTCAAAGCTCGATTAGTAGCCAAAAGCTACACTTAACAATCTATGATAGATTTTTTAGATACATTCTTTCTTATGAAAAAATTGACTATTGCTTGAGTTTCTCAGCATTGCTACCATTAACAAATAGAATTTCGTCCAAATAGACATCAAGAACATGTTCCTTAATAGAGAATTATTTAAGGAAGTTTACATGAAAGTTTCTAAAAGTATATGACAAAAGGAATACAATATACAAAAACAAGTCATTATATATGAATTAAGACAAGTCTTTAGGCAATAGTTCTCAATTTAAAAGCCAACATCAGTTAACTTAATTTTTATAAAGTTTTACTTGCAACTCTTTTTTTCTCTTTCATTCATAAGTTGGAGATTACAAATATCTATTCCCTACCTTGAAAGGAGGAAAGAAGGGATATTAGACTATGACAATTGATTTGAGAAAATTTTTTTTGTCTTCATAAATGATTCAAAATATTATTTTAATTTTACTTTTTTTTAAACAACTTTACAAGAATCAAAGACTTTTTGCATTTTCATATTTTTTATACAATTTTTTTCAAAATAGTGGATATAGTACAATAAAATAAAATAAAATAATATTTTTATATTTATTTATAAACAAAAAGTGAAAAATAAAAAATATTTTGTGAATCAAAAAAGTTGAAATAATCAACTCGAGATACTTCCTTAAGATAACAAACATCGAAGAATGAATGTCATTGGCTATAAAGTCTTACCTTTTGCTTTTACTACACTAATCACATTTTTTGGTAGACAAAATTGATAATACAAGTCTCATTAATTTTATGTAAATACTATTAAACTATAGGTAAAATTAATGCTTTTATCCTTTAACTTAAAGGTTACTTTTGATTTTGACCTTCAACTTTATTTTGATTCATTTTAATCCTTTTAACTTTTAAAAATATTTCACAAATTTTTTTTTTCTATTAAAAACCTTAATTTTGTTATTTTTATTTGTCTTTTTTGCCACATGTGTTGTTTATGCACTATTTATTGTCTTCTTTCTCTTATGTCAACTTTCTTTCCAACTTCTTCTTTCCTTTTATCTTTCTTTTCAATCTCTATTCTTCATTTTTTTCCTTCTTTCTTCTTCCTATTTAAAACTTTACATAGTAGAGGTAATGGAGGTGGTATCTGTCACCTTTAAGTTGGCGCTATGACTCTAAGAGGAGAATGTGATCATTCTTGTCAATACAAAAGGTGCTACTATTGATCCACAAAAGAATTCTCGATCAATGTAACAGGGTGGCAAAAGTAGATGAGGAGTACAACGTCGAAGCAACCATGCGGTGACAATGTTGGTGGTGTTGACTGTGCATGTTTGGAAAATGAGTCAATTGGAAGAAAAAAATGAAGAAGAGATAGAGGAGAAAGCTGATACCAAATACATGAAGAAAAAGACGATGAACACATGAAGATTTAAAGAAGAAAATAATGAATAGTATACAAATATTACACGTGAAAGAAAAAAAAATATAAATGAAGTTAATATTTTTAACAAAATATAACCTATTTAAAATATTTTTAAAAATTAAAGGACTAAAATAAATAAAAATAAAATTAAAAAATAAAATTGAAATTAACCTTTAAGTTAGATAATGAAAATACTAACTTTTTAAGTCAATCTCATATAAATTCTACATAAAAATAAAAAAATCATATTAAAATGAGTATTTTAAAAAATTATTTTGGTAAAATTTTTCTTATATGTTCGTATATTGGATAATTTAAAATTAGGCCGTGTGCCTTAATTGAAAGGGAAAATAGTTTTTCATACTTCATTTTTAGTTACATTACCTTTCTATAAAAAAATATGTTTATTATATTCCCAAAATTAAGTTTCAAAATTAATTCGTAAACACTTTTTAAAATTTAATTTCATATATATTAATTATTTTAAAAAAATTAATTTAATGAAGTGATTTGTAAATTATTTTAATTTAACATATAATTTTTTAAAAGAAATTTGAATGACGGAATTTTGTTTTTTAAATAAAGTTGCACAATGAAAATAGGTAGTACAAACAACAATTTTGAATGAAGGAAATTTCTTTTTACAGGATACTCTTTTTTTCCTTAATTTTAATTGTGGGAGTTTAATTTTAGAAAAGTGATTTACTTTAAAATTTAATTTCATAAAAAGTCATTTATTATTCAACTTTCTGGAATTAAATTTCTAAAACATGTTAAACTTTTTCAATTACTTTTAAATTTTAATTGTAAAAAATAATAATCACGAGTTTTATCTTTTCAATTTATTTTAAAATTTAATTTTTTTTCAGTTACTTTTTTCAAGGCCCAACACTCCCCTGACCCATGACCCATGACCCATGCATGGTATGTTTGTGCCTTGATATTTTTATGGACCAAAACAAAATAAAAGTGCCGTGTCACTTTCTTCTTGAGTTGAGCACACCTTCCATTATTCTACTTTCCCACGTTCTAACTTCTATTCAATAACTTTAATTTAGCCCTATTTTCACACCCCTCTTCCTATATTTCCTTCCAAGTAAGTTTACACTTCTCTCAATTCAGTCACTACCCTTAAAAAATAACAATTTTTTATTATAATTTTCTATTTATAATTTCAAAGAAAAATGTTTTCCAGGAAAATGCATGTATGTGGGGAATTCACTCAACTCTTATTTTCCCCCTTTTAGTTTTTTATTCGCTAGAGCTCAAGTAGTGTTGAATTTTCCTAGGAAAATTTATTGAGAATTTGAAATCTTGGGATTCAATGCCTTCCCTTTTTGCATTTTTATTGTTTAAAATCGGTCATTTTTGTTTTGGGTTACATATTGAAAATTGTTATTCAGTTGTTATTCTCCAGTGAAACTACAAATTTGAAGATAGTATTTAGAAACTACAAATTCAGATGGAATAGTTTTATTCAATGATGATTGGTTTACTGTTGTCTGATTAGTGGATTTGGAAGCTGTAGCAGAAACTGTTAAAAATTCTGCTGGGAAAATATCAGCTGGATGTGAAGTCAATTCGATCGAGGAACCGAGTGTTGGTATGGAGTTTGTGTCTGAAGAGGCTGCCAAGCACTTTTATGATGAATATGCAAGACGGGAAGGATTCATTGTGCGCCTTGATCGTTGTCATCGTTCTGAACTTGACAACCGAATCATTTCTCGCCGTTTTTCGTGCAATAAGCAGGGTTTTCACGTGCGAGGTAGAAATGGAATCAAGCCTGTTCATAAGCCACGAACTAGCATAAGAGAAGGCTGTGAGGCTATGATGTTGGTTAAATTTAATAAATGTGAGAAGTGGGTGATTACTAAATTTGTAAAGGAACATAATCATCCGCTAAATGCTTCTGGTTTACCTGCATATAATAGATTGATGGTGAGTTTTATCTTATTGAGTTCCTAATATTGAATAGCTAATCCTGTATGGTTGAGTTTCATGTTTTATTTTAATCTAGTGCAAATCATGACCATAAATGTCAGTATATTATTCCTGTTTACACACCTTTACCTTTTAAAGTGATAGTCTTTATTTAATAAAGATTATTGCGATCAGTCTTCATTACCATGTCATGTTGTCAAATTTGGAATCTTTTAGTTTGTCATCATATGTCGACTAGATGCTCTATTTATGATGCTTAAAGATCACCGATTTGATGATGTTTTTAGCTTTTAGTTCTTTTTCATCTTTTAAGGCAGTACCTGATATTTGGGTTATATTTGACCAGCAGTAAAGTTGAGCATGTTGCTTGATGTCATGCATGTGACTGATTATAGGTGTGGAAATGCAGTTATTTACTGATTCCTATATTGTAAAGATTGCTATTTTTGTTTCAGTATCCACATATCTAGATTGAACAGCATCAAAGTTTGCTCATTCATTCCTATTTAATTTTATTTTGGTAGCATTAGGAATACTGCAAGATTTAGTACAAGTATAGAACGTAAAAATTCCTCATTTTAGCTGCTTATTATTTTTGTTTTTAAGACTTTTTTTATTTTAGGGAGACTCAATTTCATATTCTAATTAATGGTTAGGAGTACTATAGGCTACCAGTCTGTATTGAGCCTTCTAGTCATTTTCTGGCACCCTTTGGGGACTGTTACAATTATTTTTTATCCTTCCCACTTTATTAGATTTGGTCCTTTCTCTTGGCTCCTATATTTTTATCATGCCAAACATGATTTGAGGCTATACATTTTAAATATGTCACTAAAGGATTTCTTCAGCAGTCACTTGAGGCACATTAAGAAATTGACGATAGTGGTGAACACTTCTTTATCAGAAGTTTAGGTCTGAGTCATAGTAGAAATATAGTTCCATACTCAAAATTATCATTTGCATTGAGTGTAAGCTTTGTGCATAGAAATTAACTTCACCTCTATTTTCTTTACACATTTGAAACGCACAGGGAACCCTTCCAATACTTTCCGAGTAACAGTTGTATTCACATCTACCCATCTTTTCCTGCAATTTGAATTCACGTTTCTTAAATCCTAGCAACAAATTGTTTCACTTAACTTCCAGGAATCAAAGGATAGGAAGATACTACAACTCACGAAGGAACTCGAGCAACGAGATCGACTATGTCAACAATATCGCAGGCTGCTACTTTCCCTTATGGAAACTGTTGAGGAACAAACAGAATGTTTATCAAGAAAAGTTGAACATGTTGTTAACAATGTCAGACAACTTCAGAATGAAGTGCAAAAACCTTTGAACACTGACTAACTTTCACCCTGCGTGTTACAAAGCAAATTTTCTTGCTTCATTTTTTTTTAATATTAACTTGGGTCAAATGCAAAGATTTGTTAAGCAAAACGGAGGATCTTGGGGATGTTATGCCAAAAGTCCCCTGTGCAAGGCTGCTAGAATTGTGCTATCGGAGCCAAGTTCTTAACTAGTTACAATGTGGAGCAAAACAAGTTGTAAAGTAGATGTCTTTCTGTTGATAGCACTTGTCTTTCTTTTCTTTTAATAATTGATCAGCCAATTGCTTAATAATTCAGGACTATGTTTTGAATAATTTATTCTGCTTAATAACTTTTGTTTTGCATTAAATTTTATCAATTCAACCGATGAATTAAGAATATATCAAGTTAACAAAATTTTATATCATTAACGACTTAGGTTAAAGTAAAACGTACTTTTCAAAATATAAGCAAATGTCATCAATAAAATTACACGTCTACGACTGTTTAATTTACCTATTTCACTGCCACTTGACTTATGGAGTATGAACCTTCCCTTTGGCTACCTTTTTTTCTATTGTTTTTCTTATAGCTTTTAGACCTTGATTTCCCTTCTCTTTTATCAGCAGATTCAATTAGACTTCACACTATAAAATATAAACACTCTTTGGAGAGTAGCTTGGAAATCCACAGTTGAGGGGCTAATCATTTCCTTCTATAGTTAGATCACTATCAATGTTGAATCATGTTGGCAGTAAATTGATTATTCAGCTACTTCACTGATATTTTACCTCGACATCCATAACAAAATTCAATTTATATAGGAAGTTGTGGAAAAATTTAGCAACACTTGTACCACGCGCCCACATAAATTAAGGAAAATAAGATTTAGCTCTTTATGTTGTCATGTTTTCTGTTCTAATGCAGTATATAGTAGCTAAGAGTTTGACAATCTAGATTAACTCATATTTGCCACTTAAGCTTGCTGTTTAAATTAGCTAGTTGACTCATTTAATAGAAAAAATTTATTGAGTAAACTCATTTATTTTTAACTTGTATGTTTCCAAAACATTGAAAATTTATAAGTAGAACTAAAACTATTCAATTGAAATAGATAATCCAAATCCATCATCGAAGTCCAAACGAAGCTAAATAATTTCTCCATTACACATTCATACATGCATCCTTAAAAATAGATAATGAAAGTACAAACTCATTATGAAAATAAAAGCCCATCAATTGATGCATATCTAATTATTTTTTTTCTCTATGGAACATTTTAATCAATCTACTTGGAAGGACCTTCTTAAGTAGCTTGCCAACCTGCTTGACCATGTCTTTAGTCATAATATACAGAGGAAACTGAATTATGGCAAACACAGTGACTGGAAAGAAAGCAGCACTATATATCAAAGTTGATGTCCATTTCTTCCATTCCAATCGAATAGTCAGCAAAATGGTTGCACTAAATGCTAGCATTGTTGTTATCAAAGAGATGAACAACAAAGTAAATCCCAAATTCAATTTTCGTGGGAGAGACTTGTGAAAATCCCAAAGCTCACATGGGGAACTGAGGATGGAAAGAAACATTACCACTGAAGCTAGCGAGGTAGCAAGACCCACAACATCCATTATAGTGAAAATGAGAAAAATTGGAGAATTAAGAAACACAGGGGTACCTCCTTCACTTCCTCCTGGAATAGTGTAGGCTGCAGCAAACACCACTGTGGCAACTAGAACAGCCACTGTGGAACATGATTGAGCTGTTTCCTTCAGCCATTTTTTTGCATCACTAAGCATTTCATCATGCTCAATATCCAAAACATCTCCTGCTGTTTGACCATCATTGTCGCAATGCAAATAATAATGCTGTGGAACTATTCTTCTCACTCTCTGGACATCAACAAAACTATTATTTTCTAGAGGGATTAAAAACCATATTTAATCGAGTTTTTCATATTGTATTGGAGTTAGTGGGTGTTAACAAAATTAATGCATGAAAATACTTCCTCTTATCCTTATAATAAGGCATCTTTTAAAAGGTTTTAGTTGTTCTTTTTAAAAATGATATTTTTAGAACAAATATCCATTCTATCATCTCAAATTGGAAGTGCTAATAATTTTATTTTCGGACTTCACAGTGATCTCATTTTAATATCTGACTTAATAAAATGACATTCATTTTAGTCAATCATTTTTATGTATGTAAAACGACAATGAAAATGAAATAAAAATCAACTAAATTTTTAAAACATTAAGGACGTCCTACAATTTCAAAAACTATAATGAATATTTATTCTTATTTGTAGTTAAAAACTTTAATTAAAACTAACAAAGATAAAATATTGATAATGGGATGATTAGGTTTAATGACAATAAATGAGGATAAATTGTCATGTTATAATAAAAATAAATAAATTTTGATTACTACCTCTCAACATATTTGTAAAGAACAACTATCAATATTTCTTTTGTACTTTGTGCCCTTTACCCCTGTCAACTAATCATTCATTCGTTTAAATATAGGATACCAATTTGACCATTTAATATTAAGAATACAGTATAAATTTATTACATATAGTTACATTTTATTGATCATGATAAATAGACATATATTTATTTCATATAAAGAAGAAAAGTGGTGGTATTTTTATTTATTTGTGTAATTTAATAAAATGTATCTTATAAAAAAAAAAAAACCCAAGATAATATATTGTCATTTTATAAAGGTTAGGCAGAGCTAATTACCTCATACCAACGCAATTCATCTTGGAGTTGGAATGCCACTCCTGCTAAGTGGCCTTCTTTGTAGTAATCCATCCTTGCAACTTGATGTAAGATAGTACGATTCTTCCTTGTGATGCGAGGAACCAATGATTCAAGTGCTTTTTTTCTCTTTATGATTCGAAAGATTTCCCTTTGGCGGTGCTTTATGACCATGTGCAGTATATTTTGCTCATCCTTGCTAACATGAGAAATAGCCTCAGGATGCACATCAAGAATTTTTTCAACAATTTCTACAATTCCAGTGCTAGCTGCTATGAGTAGTGGTGTGTAGCTATATTTGAGGCATTCTTCAATGCTCTCGAGCTTCTCTTGCCTCTTGGATTCAATTTGCTTTCTTCTTTTGGCCACATTGAAGGGAAGTGATGGCATTGCAATCAATGTCTTTTTAATGTTATTATAAGATTCCTGCCATGATAAATCATATTTCACTAAAATATCTGCTAGACACTCCGCAAGCTTATGCTGCTTCTTTTGTTGCCACATATGATTAATCCCTTCAAACTCTGTAGTGTTGGCCAAGCATAAGATTAATCATAAAGAAATTAATTAATGGTTGCAAATGATTTTGTAATAAAAGGTATTAAATAATTTCAATGTTAGCTAGATATTGGCAAGCTAGCTAGAAAAATAAAACATGAAATGATCCAAAGCTAAGGACACTTATCTGTACTTCGCACCTTTTGCAAACCATTTCCAAACTGCATAGTTGATCTTTGAAAAAACTGCAATTTGTGAATTGTTTTTTCCACTTGATTAGAAACAGAAGATAATAATAACAATAAGCACAAGTGAACTTAATTTTATATATATATATATATATATATATATATATTAAAAGACATATTTTTTTAAATTAGTATAAATTTAATAATTCTTAAACTATTTGAGCCTTTTATTTAATTTACATTTAATAAGATATAATTTATTACTTTAATGATTGTTAAATGTAAATTAAATAAAATATTTAAATCAAATCTAAAATTTTTTAGATTTATACTAATACGAAAATATTATTCTCTATGTATAAATACTTTATATACCTGAATAGGCGAGTTTCCTGTCATCCATTTTACCACTTTCTAAATCTCTCGTAAGTTTGAACAACTCAAAACTTTTATCTTCTTCAATTTCATGTCTTTCGACTGGAAGCACTGTTACACCAAATTATATGCCAAAAGAGTGAGGGAGCGGTAACAAATTAATGATACATACAGTGCGATTCTGTATGTAATAATAATAATAATAATAATAAATTCAAAAAAGATAAGAGAGAATACAAAAATATATGAGGCTCTTCACTGGTCCCATGGGAGAGTGGCTTCGAAAAACATGTGGCATTTTGGAAAGAAGTTGAAGAGATGTAAATTCATTGTTATACTTTTCATTAGCAAGTGTTTTGTCCATTCTCACTAACCAAAGTGCAACATCTGCACCAAAAGGATACAATTAATATTCAACTATCATCAATTCTGAAGAGTAAAAAAAAAAGAAAAGAAAGTAATTAACTAGTCTATCTATCCATCTTAATATATACAAACATTGTATTATTACTACCAATTACAGATAGCATATTACTTGATGTAGCCTACCGCATTACTACATTGTGCAATGGTTTTCGTTAAAAAAATAAAAATACAATAGAACAACATTGTAGTCACCATAATCCATAATCCATAATCCATAATCAGAAGAAAAAAAATATACATATATATATATATATATATATATATATAGAGAGAGAGAGAGAGAGAGAGATATACCTAAATATTGCCCAATCACGCTAACATGGAGAGCTGAAACACTGGGATTTCTATGTAAATGTTTTCGAATGTCTTGCACATTATTTTTGATCATATGGTCAACCATATGCTTAAGCATCTTTAGCTTACCATACTTTGCAGCTCTGAACAAAGGGGTTTCACCTTTGTTATTTGTTAAATCTATGAGTGGGCATTTGATCCCTGTTTGTGGTTGTAAATTCTTCTCAAAATGAAACACAACATTTGCCATTTGTACTTCTTTGCAAAAGACAATCTCATGCAGAAGAGTGTTTCCTTCACGATTCTTCATGCAGAGAGCGTGCCACCTATGTCCTTCGGGTAACATTTCTATTAATTCTTCGAGAAGTTGTGGATCGTTAGAGCGAGTTGCAATATGAATCGCAGTGTTCCCAAATAGGTCAAACCACTCAAGTATGTTTATGTTGTCTTTCTTTATTATTTTCTTGAAGTCTTTCCACCTATTAGCCATGGCAGCTTTTTGGGCTTCTTTCATTTTCTCATCAAATAATGCGATTCCTTCCTCTTTCTTTGTTTCCGTAATTTCAATCTCGTTCATTGTCTGTTTACAACACACTGATCAGTTAAGTTTAATTAATTTCTCTTTTCAAGACATGAACTAGTCTAGTTGTTAGCGATCATAGTGTATACCCACATAAATAAGAACTAGCGTTTATTTTCATATATATGTAACTTCTTCAACGAAGTAATTTAGGGGGTAAAAGCTTTTATATATATATATATATATATATATATAAATTAAAAAATTATGAGAATGATAAAATATTCTCCTAATCTAATAGAAGCATATTTAAAGCAGTAAAATAATGTGCTACATAAGTGCGACTATGAACACTAGTGCAAAATTATTATCGCTGAGATAATGATATATATATATATATATATGAATCATCCCATCGACAGTGTCTAATTTAGATAAATTTTTAGATAAGTTTGGAGAAGGAAAGAAATCAATGTAAAAAATGATTTTTTTTTTCATATTTTAAAAGCAACTTATACATTTTAAATTTTAGATAAATTAAATAAAAGAGTTTCTAAAAAAGGTATAGAAACACAAGTTAATTTTAACTTATAGAAAAAACTTGATTTATTTTATTACTTAATTTTTTCTTTTATAAGTATTTATTGAAAAGTTTATTTAAACTCAACTTACATAGAGAAAAATTGAGGTTTGTTTTGATAAGAGAATATGCTTTTGTACTTTTGATTATAAAAAAGGTTACTTTATTTTTATTTTATGTTTAGATTTTAAAAAATTGTATAGAAAATAAGAAAAAATATTCTCACTTTTTTAATACAAATATTTAAAAACATGAAGTAAAGTGAAAATAAAAGAACATTTTATAATTATAATTAAAAACAAAACATGAACAGAGAAAACACATCGCAAGCCATACATATCTATTATGCAATTTCATTAGTGCCACATTGTACTTAATTAAACGGTAGCATGACAAGAGGTAAAGTAAAATTTATTAAAAAAATTGAGTTGTAATTTTAAATGCTTATGGGAATGAAGTCTATATGATGCGTGATGTGTCTGGTTCTGTTAATTGGTGTTGGGTTTCATGTGCTTTCTAGGGTTTAAATGTATTGTTTAAATCGTAACACAAGTAAGTCAAATAATATATAAATAAATTAAAGTGGTAATTAAGTATATAAGACATACCTGTGATCCAGAAAACATTACAAGCAATTTTTTATATCTTAAGTAAATTGTCGAACTCTCTCCCAAATTAAAACAAAGAACTACCCATTGCTTATGAGATTTATAAGCAATACATGTAACAACTAAGTTCATGAATGCTGATGCAAATTAAAGATTTCTTCCTCCCGAATCACATGTTAGTTTATTTTCAGTGCATTATGCTTTTTCTAATTATAGTTAATTGTTCTTATTCTTGATTTTAACTTTCGCTTTGCATCTTTACTTTTTCTTTTTTTCATTTTTAATTGCTTGTAAGAAGTAACAACGAACAGAATCAAGAATCTTAACATTAAACATGCCATATGAGAGAAAAAGAAAGAGGTTTCCTTATCTCTCACTCTCTAGTTTTTGAGTAATACCTAAGTTGGTCATTGAAAAATTATGCTAAATTCACTAATTTTTTTCCCCCGTGAGACAGGTTAGTCTCTCCATTAAAAGACCAAGAAATAACTTAACATAATTGCTTACATTGTCTATTAACAAGTTGAGATGTACCTGCAATTTTTAAAGAAGAGTATTTTAATAAAAGGACTTATAATATCTGATTAAAATAATTAAGAACTATTTAATAATTTTTATTTTTTAAGATCTAAAATTTAGGTCTGACAAATAAGAACTTTTACTCTTGTTTTTAAGGAGGCAAAGCAACGAAGTTTCCTTTATTTTATTTATTTGTTATGGTTTTACGTAATGATGGAGTTGGGCTCTATTTCTTTTAATTCTAATATTTATAAGGAGAAAAGAAAATACTTATTTTCACCCTTGCTCATTTTTGAAAGAATTTAGTGTAAATATTCTTCATTTTCTTAATAATAAAATTAGGTAAAGCATATATACCTCTATTTACTAATATATATACCCATTTATTAATTCAGGCTAAAATCCTTAAATAAGCATTTATTTGATGACATGTTCTGGTGTATGAAAATTATCTGAAAGCAAACTAAGTAAAAGTCAATTTAAGACTGATCTCATTCAGATTAAAATTTTAAAACAAATGTGTCAGATGCTAAAACTCTCTAGCGTGAGAAAGATTGAATTTAGGTAAAAAAAAAAAGTTGAAATGGACGAATACTTTAATCATGAATGAAAGTAGCTGAAAGAAATTAGTTGAAATCAAGTTAAAGGAAAGTAATAAATTAAGGTAAATTTAGGTCCAAAGTGTTTTATCACTGCTATATTTTTTCTTGGTGAAACTGAAAACAAGTAAAAATTAGTACATAATATCATCTTTGTTGAAATAAATGAGTTCCTTAAAGATTGATGGTCTTCATACATTTTGATGAATGGAAATTATTTTTAGATGGATTTATACTGTATTTTGTTAAATATTTTGGGTATAAGTTATCATCTATAAAATTATTCATAAGATCAGATGATCTAAAAGCAATTATAAAGAACTGAAATTGTGTAAAGAAAAAAGGTGATAGCAGTTACTTGTCTTAAATTGTCTATATGAATTAGATAATGTACAAAAATTACATCAACAAAACAGACTGAACCTCTACAAGAGAAAATTCATATTTATTAAAAAATACAATTTTTTTTTTTACTTATTCGTCACATCTTATACTAAAATAAAAAAAGAACAAAAAGAGAAAAAAAAAATAGCCATTAGTGAATTTTCAGAGAAGGGTTCTCCAACTCAAGGTATATTTGGATTGGGCAAGTAAATTAAAAGAGTAATATTGTCTTTCTTACTATAATTTGTTCTTCTATTAAGGCTTCCTAAGCATTGATTGTGATGGTCATGGAAGTTTTGAATACAATGATCTTTCCACTACAACAATACATCATAAATGGAGCCTACATACCAAAAAGGGTTAATAAGAACATCTTTTGGGAGTATGCAAACCCAAATATCCCAAAATCATACCACTATTAGATCTTGAAAATTTACATCAGGCAAAGTGGAACTGTTACATGTTAATTCTGGAAGAAGAGGCTATTTATATTTGATAAGGACTTCCTTGTTGTATGGAAACTACAAAGGAGAAAACATGCTGCAAGAGTTTGTTTTGTATTTCAGTGTAAATTTTTGGTCATCAGTGAAATTAGAAATGCTTCAGAAGAAGCTACACTGGAAATAATTAGTATGGCACAATCAGAGGTGACAAATGTTTGCCTCATTATTGGAACTTACACCACTTAATAATTCTATTTATATACAATTCTTAGTTTGGAGAATCTGCTACACTGTCACTTCACAAATGTTTTGCCATTGGGTCGTTCAATGGAACTAATAGATATGAAATTTGTTCTCCTACAGGCTACAATTTCTGATCATGAAATTGTGGCATCCTTTCCTCATAAAAAAATGTTAATGGAACTGGCTATAGAGAGCCATTTTAAATTTTGAAGTCATCAAGACTACTGCTATATACCATTTTGCCACAAGCCTTCAAACATGTCAAAATGTCAATCATTTGCAGTTTATCTAAGTAAAGATATCCTTAGGTATTATCTTATCCATTAAATACATAAAGGTGATAAGAGTCACTAGGATTATTTCCCTGCACAGATAATGCTTGACAAATCCAACAATAAGTTTGAATTTTCCAACAATAGCAGATAAACTGTACAGCTACATAAAACAACAGGGGAAAACAGGGGAAGAAGGAGCTGAAAACAATAACATATGAGAAAGCTGTGGTTAGTTGTCATAAGCATAGTTGAAGTTGAAGTTCATTAATCATTATTGAACATCATTGAATTGGTGTTGAAGTCAGTGATGGGAGAAAAACTGAACAGAATTAGGAAGTTTATCTCTCCAGTCTCAATTTTATGCTAAGGTATATATCCCTTAACAAAGTACAACTCATTCCTAAGCAAAAGGCATCTGACATTATAGAAGAAAAGGAAATTCACTACACATGCTCGAAGCCTAGTCAAAATGGTATTTATGAATCCATAAACAAAAGAAATCATCAGTGATTGACCTAAGTCTAACCGTCTAAGATGACCAGAAACATAAGCACTATACTAGCTATATACTGTCTAAACAAAAGTATACATCAGAAAAATAATTACATTGGAAAACAATAAAATTAGTCCTCAAAACAAAAGTATACAACTGTACATGTTGAAGATAATGATGGCTATAGTCCATATTTAATAAATTCGTGGAACAACTAAGGGTATGTGGTTCGTGTAGTTATCCTTTTCGTCACTTGTTACATTATGATTACAAGAGACTATCTTTAAAGAGAATGTGATACACTGTATGAGATACAGTGTGTTTGATATGCAGTACTCAGGGTCATTGAGAGAATTCAATAACTGTGCTCCAGTCAACTATCGAATACAATGTCATATAAGCATGCAAAATTGTGAGCTTAAAGGTGCATATTATCATGATGACATCATTGTAGATCAGAAAATCACACATTGTACACACTGGTGGCAAGGGTCCACCGAAGGATTGGCAGTCATTACAAAGCAGAATCAGAAAAAAGTTATACATATAAAGGGTAATAAAGCAAAGATCCTGACCAAAGCATTCCATGAAGCTTGTTTTTCCTATGCCAAAATTTTCCACTTGCGTATTACCTGAAGAAGGGCCTTTGTAGAAGATCCATCTTCTTTCAGTGCACTAGTAGCAGCTTCTTGCAATTCCTTCATTCTTTTCTTCACTTCCCTGCTTTCTTCCCCTTCCATTAGACGCTTTATCACCTCAGCAACTTCCACCCTTTCCACCAAGCCATTTTCATTAACTCAAGGCCTTAGTCCCACTTTTAGGCCTTCACTTATCACGATGGCATTCATTCTCTGCTCCGCAAACAGAGGCCATGTGATCAGTGGCACACCCTGCAGCAAACTCTCGAGGGTCGAATTCCATCCACAGTGACTCAAAAATTCCCCCAACCGAACTGTGACTAAGGACTTGAATCTGAGGTACCCACAAAGGAACAACCAAACCTTGCTCTTTGGTTCTCTCCAAGAACCCACATGGCAAAAACTTCAATGGATCAACATTATATTTTGCACCAAGATATGCAGCATTAGCCTCATTACTGGGCGGCCTCACAACCCACATGAACTTATGACCACTCAATTCCAACCCACAAGCCAATTCATTCATTTGTTCCTGTGACAATGTCCCACCACTCCCAAAACAAACACCCCATCAACCAAAAAAAACCTTTTTATACGTTTAACTGAGTTTTTATGGCTTCCTCTGAGCAAATGTGGGTGCAACCATTACAATAGCTAAAACTAACTCCAATAAATGCACTAGTAACAGAAGAATTCAACGAAGTTGTCTCATCAGCGCAAGTATTTCTACTTGCATCAACTAATAATACTGGTTAATCTCTAGCCAACTGAAGTGAGTCATTAGTCTATTTCTGACAATTTACTGCAACAAAAGCATTAAAGAAAGAAAATTTTTGTCACTATATTATTTAGCCAATGTATTTGAAATTGTGCAATGAAAAATATGATAAACAAAATTTGAACATGTAGACAAAATAATCAATTGATAACGTAACAAAACTTTCCTTAAACAGTGAATCTTGAAGTGTTATTTTGTTAATGACAAAGCATATTATCTTAAGCCATAAATAATTAAACTTCTAATAAAATTTAAGTAATGAACTAACAACAATAATGTAGCAATATCTCACTATGTGCAGTTGGATATGTGTCACTAGATCAAACAAATCCAATGAACTCGGTGAAGAAACAAATTAGGAATAAGGTATTTCAAACAACGGTAACATAATTTGATTCTTGACAAGATTGAAAGTTTCTTTGACCAAACTATTAGAAATTTGATTTATAATACTCTTATTTCTCTAATAAAAATGTTCAATTTCAACACAAAACAGTGTAACACCAAGCATTCTCTATGTTGTATTCCCAAAAGGCTTACCACGAATAACAAACATTTTGATAACCAAGTGAACTAAAAGAAAGGTCATTGTGTGGGAAAAAGCTAGATCAAAGTATTATAGCAAATTATTGGTGGCAAAATTCGTTCATTTTCTTCAACTTTGCCTTCCAAAGAGTAGTTTTTATCAAAACTTTTCACATTGACCCCAATGCAAAATTTGCCTGTAAGTACTCATAACATACCTTTAGGTCACTTTTTATACATACACTGAGACATAACTACTTTAAAATTAGTTGCTTTTGTATATTTTAATTTACTAAGTTGCGGACCAGTTATTAGCTCCATGCTATCCTAAATCACTAGTATCAACTCCATAGTCCATACTATCCTAAATCACTAATGAAGAGATCTAGATTATAAATATTAAATTACATGGTATAATTTCTTGATTATAAATCTTGTAAAACTTGTAAAAAATATACACAAGAAACTATACAAAACATCAATTTATATTTTACATTTATGAAATAGAAGGAACCCAAATTAGTGTATATTTTTTTATATCAATAATCAATTTCCTACGCACATAAATAATCTACCTTTATAGTTTGAGTTCTAATTTTTAAATGAGAAATGTTTAGGTATTAATTATCTTTTTTATTATGTCACATGACTTTTTATGCATTCAACATTTTTTTAATTCAATCTTAATTTAAATTTCATATTAAATATTTTTAATTAGTTTTTAATTTTCAAAATTTCTTTTTTATTTAATCTTATTTAATGTAATAGAATATTATTATTAAAAAATAAATATTTATATATTAGTATTAATAAATTTTATTATTTATAAAATAACTTTAATTTTTATTTAAAAATATTATACTTTTAATAATGCCAAAAAATTTCTAGCATTAAATATATGGTTAGTATCAATTTGAACACAGACGGCGATATTGTTTAACAATTGAAAATTAGTTTTATTAGGATAATGTCTGTTTAACTTTAAAACAAATGGACACTAACTCAACTAATTCAAAGCATTTTATTAGTAAAGCAATGGGCCGAGTTACCCGTCAAGGGCATAGATACCTTATAAATCACTAAGGATAATTTGTGGGATGTGTGCGATTTGGCGACTAACAGCACTTGTCTCTGTTCGGCAATCTTCAAGTAAGAGGGAGCATTTGTTAACCTCAAAGATCTTTAAGTTGGTAAGAACACTCATTCCTTCGGGCAGCGATGCCAATTTTGGGCAGCGTATGATTTTGATATGCTGAAGCGATGAGAGGTTGCAAATCCAATCTGGCAAAGCCTTTAGCCTTTCACAGCCAAATATGCTGATTTTTTGCAGAGAAGGAAGGCAGCTGGTGTCGTCCTTGAACCCAGTTTCAAATGCCTCCAGTGTTTCACTTCTACACCCTGCAATTCCAAGAAACTCGAGAGAGGTCAGATTTTGCATCCAACCCTTTGGTAAATTCATAGGATCAGGAAATCTCAGTGCTTTGAGCATGGAAAGAGGAGCAGCGGAGGAAGATGAGTCAGTTGAGTTTAGCGTTGCTATTAATGGCTCTGCACTGCTGGTACCCCATCTTAAATCCTTAACGTTTGGAAAAGTAGGCATGCAAGTCAACTGTGGACATTTAGAGACTTCCAGTCGAGAAAGAAGAGGAAATGAAAGAGGTAAGGAGAGATCATGTGAATCATTCATATCATCTCCTCGCCTCCGCCATCCTCTCAGCTTGGGACAACCTCTTAATAGGAGGCTGTCCAAAGAGGGGAAGAAGGTTACTGTAGAACCATCTTCGTATAGATCTATGTATTCCAATTCATCAAGAAGCTGTATATCAAGTGACCTCAGGGACGGGAGACGTTCCAAAGGTGGGAGATACCGACAATTATCACACGCAAGGAGAGTGATGTCAATAACATTTGTGAGGAGAGAAAGCCAATGTGGGAAAAGCACACCTGGATAACAGTGCACAATCAATCGCTTAAGATTACTGTGGGGCTCAAGGTTTTCTAATAATTGTAAGCTGTCACTGTTACCGATGATGTCTCCAAACCAACGTAGAGTCAACGAACGAAGGAATTTTTTTTCTCTTAAATTTACATTATGTGATTCCAGAGCCACGTCTCTGACACGATCGAGATGCTCAATACTTAGTTCTCCTCTTAAGTTTAAGTCTTTCAATTCATTTAGTGTGCCATATTTTGTTTGTTGGCTGTCTCCCACAACAAAGATTGATAAGAATTGCAACCAGCACAACTTTCCCAACCCAACTGGCATTCCACTCAAGAAGAAATCATCAAGGATGTCAAGATATCTTAAATGCTTTAATTTTTCAATTGAATCAAACAACTTGCAGAAGGAAAAGGATGACATCCTCAGGACGCGTAAGTATTTAAAATTAGCAACAACATTCAATTCCTTCTCTCGAAAGCAATACCTCAGTAAAATCAAAGTTCGTAGCCTGCTTGCATTCAATGAATCCAGTAAATGAATGGCCTCAGGTTCAAACGACACGTGCATGGGTTTACTTTCAACTTTTTCTGCCTTACTATCCAAGGAACAATAATCATTGCCACCAACAAGCATTGCAAGATCATGCATTAAATCGTGCATTTTGAAGCTAATGACCTCACCGTACTCACTTTTTGCATCTTGAAAAAATGAGTTCATCAAAAATATCTTTACAAATTGGTTACCGACATCCTCCATCTGCTGTTTTTCAGTTGAACATTTAAGGTAACCCTGTGCCATCCACAACTGAATCAACTCATCCTTTGAAATTTCTGAATCCTTGGGATATAAAGAGCAGTAAGCAAAACATTGTCTCATCTCGGGGGACAAGTTTTGGTAACTGTGTTTTAGAATTGGCATGATACTATCTTGCTCTTCGCATAATTTCCAGAAGTCACCGCGTAAAACATTTTCCCATTCACTTTCTTCGTTTTGTCCTCGTAACAGGCCTCCCAGCGTTTTAACTGCTAGTGGAACCCCTTTACATTTCTTGGCTATTTCTTTCCCCATTGATTCTAGATTTTTATTCACTCCTTTGGAATCATCTTCAAATGCAATGTTTTTCAACAAACTCCAAGATTCTTCATCGGTCAAACCTTGCAAATGATAGGAAGTGCTAGCAGTCATTGCCTTGGCTACATTTTCACTTCGAGTTGTCACTAAAATCTTACTGTCTTGAGCGCCACACATCAGGTACTTTCTCAATTCAGCCCATTTTTTATAACTATCATTCCAAATGTCATCCAGCACCAACAAATATTTCTTACCACTTAAATTTTGACGAAGCTTTTCTTGCAAGTAGTCTAACGATAACCCGACTGCTATTTGGCAACGAGTAATTGATTCTATTATTTTCTTCAGAATAGTTTTAACATCAAAGTTATCAGAGACACACACCCACATTTGCATTTCAAAAGAATTCTGCTTTTTCAATTCATTATACACCAATTGAGCAAGAGCTGTCTTACCCAAACCACCAAGGCCAACAATGGCAATCACAGAAACTGTTTGCTTTTCATGTGGTTGTCTCAACAGACCAATAATCTCCTCTTTACTATGCTCTCTTCCAATGATATCAGATTCTACCACAAAAGAATCTGTTTCCCTGCATTCACTTTGCTTAACCAGCATAGAACTTGAGATTAAATTCAACTCCTTCATTGCTTTCACTACTTCGTTAAAACTTGCTCGTATTACTTTAATTTTGTCACGCGTTTCACTGTATAAAGGAAGTTGATTTGAAGATGAAATGGAACGAAGTACCCTGTTTACTTCGTTTCCTTCGCCTGCACCCATTTTGTCTCTCCTAAATTCGATAGCAAGGTCATCTAAGAAGTCATCTGAAGCATGAAGCACTTTTTTGAACCTTCTGATCCAGACGCGCACACCACCGTCTTGATCTTGTTTGTCTTCGGCATCAAGGAGCTTATCGTTGATGCATTCAACAGTGTTCTTAAGCTCTTCCAACTCTTCCGTCACATCATAATGCTTTCCAAATTCAAGAAAATCTGTGGAAGCCAACCTGAGATTTGAAGTAAACAGCAAATGGAACCGACTCAGCCATCGTTTAAATGACTACGAAAGACTACATAGAAGGGTGCTTTACTGAGAGGAAGTTGAGCAATGTGAAAATATTGGCATGAGTATTTTGTTGGTACAAATCTCGTTAATTTTCAGCTTCAAAGATTTAAATTTTTGTCTTCTATACATTTATTTCATATTATACTATCAACCTTAATTTAAATAAATATTTTTTTCACCATTAATACTAAGCATACAAAAATATAAATTAAAAATAAAAAAAATATAACAATTTTATATTTTAGAAAAAAATAATAATAATGAATAACACATTTTTATGGAACTCACCTATAAATTTTAATTTTTTTACCTAATGTAGTTATATATGTTACTAATATTGTTTTATAAGGTGTACATATATAATGTATAAATAAGGTAGTCTATATTTTCTCAATTATTTTAATTCTTAGAGTACCATGATTAATTTTTATTTTAAATATTTTAACGTAATCAAGATATTAAGTTTTGAGATTTTAGCGTAATAATAAGATTGGATAGCATGCGTATAAATTTATAAACAAATATATGTAAATATTTACAACATTTTAATTACTTTACTGATGTAAATTAAAATTTAAAAAAATCTAAACGTGATTTAACTTTTGATGGTTGCTATAATAATGATGATTATCACAACCTCTCATTCCAAAAGAACTTTTCGGATTGCTAAAATAACTAACAGTTAAGTATAGATTCATTTTTTATTTGACTCAATAGCATAATGTTTTATCTAACATACTCATAGTATTACACTTAAGACAATCAACTATTATGAAGATATAAATATATAATTAATATATTAAGTATTATAGGTACGATTGTTGAAAAGCACATAAAAAATAATTCTTCAAGGCAATAAATAAAATAAAATGATTCTGGAAGTACACATGGCATTATCTATATCAATAATTTTTATTATTACACTAATCTGTTATTAATTTGATTGTTTAATTAGAGTTTTGATTTTATCGGAGACAAAAACAACGATTCTATAAATTTCGATAATATATTTGTGATTAATTGTTATTTATAAGTATTTAAGTGTTTATTTTTTTATTTTTCTGAATACAATTTATGATATGAATTATGCAATAGAAAATTAGAAAAGAAAAACTAAAAGATGTGAATCTAAAACAAACAGATGAACTAAGAAACAAGGGGGAAAAACCTAAACTGTAAGCTAAGCATATTATGCAAGAACCAAAAACAACCGGTGATAATAGTTTAAATTGAAGAAAGGGTGGAAAAAGGAACCTGTGAATGAGATTAGAAGCAATAGCAAATGGAACGTTTTCCATATTCCTTGGATCTGATGAAGAAGAGAATAGATCTCACTGTGTTTAGTTTGAGATTGGCAATGGCTGCAGCACATACACTATTGCTCTTATATCTGCCCATCACAGGGACACTTTTGTAATTAGCTATGTCTCTCAAACTATATCTTCTAAGTCTTATTGGTCCAATGCTTTTGCTCTTATCTTCGATCTAATTAATATTATAAATATACAATAAAGGATAGCCTCTAACACGAGTTACCCATTAATTGGCGATAATGAATTAAGTTTTTAAAGTTGACTTCTAACATATTATATTTTTACAGCATGTTATTAAGTAGACTTCTGGCATGTGATTGTGTGTGTTGTATGTTTTGGAAAAATTAGATATGATGGTAATTTATCACCAAAACATGTGATTTGTGTTGTTTAATATGTGATTTTGCGTATTATTATCAAAATATGCTTACAAAATAAGAAAATGTTAAAAGTATTTGAGATATGCCTTTGGACTCTCGTTTTACTGATCCCTGAAATCTTCAACAAGATATATACTATGAGTGGGTAACTAGATAAAATTGAAGATTAAAATAAAATGACTGGATAAAGTTTTTCTTCAATCAAATATTTATTATCATTCCATGATATTGTGCTGACTGAAAAAAAACAATTGGGAGAAGTTACAGAACATTGTATGCAAAATTTTCTCATGCTACAATATGGAATAAAATGGTGAATATATATATATATATATATATAACTTAGTTCTTCAAATTTTTTTGGTTGGTATGAAAACTTGTTATCATGATCGGAATAAATGTGGTTTTAGAGATTTTAAAAAGAATTCAGCATTTTTAACGAAGTGAGGATAGTTAGGTTTAGGTATTAATTTTTATTTATTAGATTTTATTTTTTCAAAGTGAATAGTACTAAAAAAATTATTTGCAACGTAATAAAATTACAAAGGGACCTATTCCTCAATGTCAAAGATGAAGAAATGAATGTTAAAGTTGAAAACTGAGAATTTTAAACCTTTTTCAACGTATATGCCGGTGCGATGTTTCTTCCACATTTTTGCTCATGGATCCCTTGCCTTCTATCACAAAAGCATTCTCACTGGTTGTACAGCAAGAAAGACAAATAGGTTATGTGACAATACTAATTGATTCTATTGAAGGAAGAGTGTTTGTGAATGTGACTAACCAGGGAGTAAAACACCTCTTTATCTTACACTAGAAGCAAACAAACAAGCGTGTTGGGTATGTAATATTCCTTAATTTATATTTTAAATTATGATATAAATTATAGCATAGAAAAATAAATAAATTAAATACTTTTATTTTTATAACTTAAAGAATTGAGAAAAAGTCAAACTTTCATGAGTCTAAATCATGTCAATCTTCTTACGAGAATGTCGTAGTATGATGTATGATTGTGATTATATGTTGGATTGAAATATGTTTCTCTGTGTGTTGATGATCTGAATGAATATTTAATTAAAAAAGGTGAAATAATTAGAAACTATTTAAAACCACCAAACTATCACAATTCCGGTGTCCTTCAACGAATCTGAATATATAATTTATGAGTACTACTTATTGAACTCAAACACTGTTGAGAGTATTCTTAAATACGAGTGTTTTTAGAAATATTTTTAAATGAGAATGTTTTTTCATATTAGTGTTTTTTTTATCATGCCTAGTATTTTTATATTACATTTTATTAATAATTATAATAATTTTTTATAAAATTTATTAAATTTAGAAATAATCATTTAACATATTTTAAATTATTTATTTTAAAGTAATTTAATTTAATAATACTCATGCAATATAAATAAAACATTACTAGTTAATTAAAAATAAAGTTTAACAATACGCTTCTCCTAAATTAACTCTTTTAACATAAAAACAAATTATTTGTGAAAAAAACAAAGAAATGTTTTATTTATATGAAGAATCAGAATTATTAAACTATTTTAACTCAGCCATTCCCATTTAAAAACACAGAAGTACAACAAAATATCTCAACAATATTAACTCTACATAAAATAAGATAAAACAAATCATAAAAAAATATATTAAAAGAAAAAAAATAAGTTTATCAAGTTACTACTTTCTTTCTAAACATGTAATACAAATGTATTTATAGAAACTCAAACTTTAAATAAGGTTAAGTTGGAATTATGAATATGATGATAAACAAACAAGTGGAGAAATAAAGAAGAATTAATCACATTTCAATTTTCAGCTGAAACTCAACTTTTCTCTTTTTTATTTATTAACCCTAAAACTAAAACCAACAAATAAAAGAAGCAAAGTAACCATAAACCTAAAACTAATGAACGTACAAATATGGAGGGGATGACGCTATTTCTGTCTTCTTAAATCTTAGTTTTTTTCTTACGTTGAAAAATTATATAAATGTAAGAAAATCTATGAATTGTTTTGCTTCTTCAATTATGCTTTTGTGATTGTAACCTTCATCGAACATGTCAATTCAATTATCAAAGTTAATTCATGAGTTTTCATTCATCATCTTTTATTTTTCTTATTTTTTATTGATTTATATGAAAATTCTTGATTTAGATTAAGTTGTATGTATCAAAGATAAAGAAGAATTTTATTTTATTTTTTTGATAAACCAAGACATCAAAGATAGATAAGACTTAATTGTTATTATTTTCAATTAAACAATAGAATTAAAAATAAAAAAAAGTTAGAGGGAAATAAATAATAATTAAAATGAGTAAAATAAAATAGATATAATGTTAAAAAATAAAAGAATTTCAATAGAATTTTACTATTCACATACATTCTTACTTAAGTCTATTATGACTAGTTTAAGAATTAAAAGATAATACAAATGTGATGAAATAAGAATAAATATTAAAGGTAGCTAAAATTTACAAATCAAATAATAAATAAAAAAGGAGGCACAAAAATCTAGTAGCTAGTTAGATTAAAAAATGATTTTTTTGAATTAGAAACAAATTAAAAGAACTAACAGGTCAAAACAGATAGAGACAAAGTAGCTAGTTAAAAATCTAGTAAAAGAAAATAAACGCAAAATTAATTTTTCAAATTTTTACTTTTTATATATTTTTTTATTTTGGTTTTTTGAATTAAAAGTGAATTAAATTTAGAGGAAACCAAGAAAGTATACGGCTAATAGAATTAAAAAAAAAAAAAAAACTAACCAAATAAAATGATCCAGAATAGAGATTAGATATCGTCATGCAGTACTGTAAAGCTGTAAATACATCAGATTAACTGCTTACAATAAAACAACCATAAACTCTGGGTTTTACAAACATTATCCCTGTCTTTTCAAGTGTAAACAAGCTAAAATATTGTATTTCTTACTATAATTTGTTTTTCTATTAAGGCTTCCCAAGCATTGATTGTGGTGGTCAAGAAAGTTTTGAATACAATGATCTTTCCATTACAACAATACATCATAAATGGAGCCTACATACCAACAAGGGTTAATAAGAACATCTTTTGGGAGGATGCAACCCCAAATATCCCAAAATCATACCACTATTAGGTCTTGAAAATTTACGTAAGGCAAAGTGGAACTGTTACATGTTAATTTCTAGAAGAAGAGGCTATTTATATTTGATAAGGGCTTCCTTGTTGTATGGAAACTACGAAGGAGAAAACATGCTACAAGAGTTTCTTTTGTATTTCAGTGTCAATTTTCTGTCATCAGTGAAATTATATATGCTTTAGAAGAAGCTACAGAAATTAGTATGAGGTGACAAACGTTTGCCACATTATTGGAACTTAGGCCACTTAATAGTTCTATTTATATACAATTCTTAGTTTGGAGAATCTGCTAAACTGTTACTTTACAAATGTAATGCCATTGGGTCATTCAATGGAACTAATAGGTATGAAGTTTGTTCTCCTACAGGCTACAGTTTCTCATCATGAAACTATGTCATGCTTTCCTCATCAATAAATGTTAATGGAAATGGCTACAGAAAACCATTTTAAATTTTCAAGTCATCAAGACTAATACACTGAAGAATGACAGTTATACTTTGGAATTCACTGGACCCTGTATGATCGAAATTTGAAATTTTGTTTAATTGTACATTTTGCTGAAGTCACAGATTCAGAAAACCTAACTGAGGAAATTCAGCATAACCTGGCATGCAACTTTAATGTTAGAATCCTTGCAATAAACCAATTGTATGCAACCTATCAATTTAAAGCTGTTAGGTAAAAAATGAAAATCCACGGAATTGAGATTTATGTAATAAGACAGCTGTATGCACTCCCAACTTGAACAAGAAGGTATGGTACAATTTCTTTGACAAAATTTCATGTGCTAAATAATGCTATATTGCGTACCCTTTTGAAACTTGAAAAAAAAAAAAAACAACAAACTTTGGTTCAACCTTATGAAACAATCATATTACTTGCTACTGTTTTACAGTTTCGAAGATAATGCATTTATGATTTAAATTATATCTAAAAATAGTTTATGCTATGACGAACATAAAAGTAATAGAGTTCAACGAAATCGCGCATAGAAATCATGAGAATGAGATTTCTCCTCAGGAGCTTGCTGAGAGACATGGTGGAAGGCAATTGATAAGAACCGTGTGAGGGAGAAGCATACCACAAAAGCTAACTATTGTAGTTGGAGAGTCCAAGGCCCTATTCATTACTTCGAAATGCTTTGATTGGTGATATCTATTACACAAATGGGCAAGTCCAGCAGACCAGAGTAAGAAAAATGCATGCTATCAGTAATAAACCTTCTTATGCATTAACTTAACGCACTTCACAATAGAACTACCCTAAACATGCAGGGACAAACTAGAAGAAGCAAGTGATGTTATGAAATCTTGAGCCAAAGCCAATAAACAAAAAAATGACAAGTTTAAACAGTATTTTCAATGTCTAATTAACAGTGCTTACTTTTAGTCATTTTAATTCTTTAAGTTACAATATAGCAAGCGAGATTAGTAAGTATTAGTAATAACATAAAAAGTATTTGAAATATGTTCACTGTACAGTAGTCTTGTCAATGACTCCCCATACTTATTTGTTTGTTTGTCCTTAAGCAAAG